ACAATGTATTTATTTACAATACATGTACTTTATTCCCCGCAAATAGCTATAATTATGCTAATCCAAGCACGATAAAAGGCATAAACAGCACGCCTCTATATACAACTAATTACGTATCAGGTTATAACTTCTTCAAATATTCTAGTAAAATATGTAACATTCAAATGATTATCTTCATTATTTAGAACACGTAAGGTCAATCACATAAGTCCAACATTAAGCCAGTCAGTCACCTCTCACTATCCTGGCGGACTATCACCCCTTAAAGAGGATTGTCACCTCTTACTATCCTGGCAGACTATCACCCCTTAGAGAGGCTTGTCACCTCACACTTCCCTGGGGGATTATTACTCCTTAGAGAGGATAATCATCTCTCATTACCCTGGGGGACAATCAACCCTTAGGGAGGATTGTCACCTTTCGCTACCCTGGGACACTATTACCCCTTTCAGAGGATTATCACCTCTCACTACTTAGGCAGACTATCACCCCTTAAAAACGATTGTCACCACTCACTACCTTTGGGGATGATCACTCCTTAGAGAGGATTATCTGCACCTCTCATTACCCTGGGGGACTATCACCCTTTAGTTAGGATTATCACCTTTCACCTCCCACTACCCTGGGAGACTATCACCTCTTAGAGAGGATTATCACCTCTCTGATCTTTACCTTGGGGGACTATCACCCCTTAGAGAGCATTATCACCTTCCACTACCCTGGGGGACTATCACCCCTTAGAGAGGATTATCACTTCTTTCTACCCTAGAGGACTATCACTCCTTAGAGAGGATTATCACTTTATCACTTTAGCCTACGTGTAGCCGCATCACCCCTTAGAGAGGATTATCACCTCTCACTACCCTGGCAAATTATTACAGAAGGAACCACGTCTTACACCTTTTTCTCTACGAACGAACCACGACGCATCCGACGCCACATCTCCTGTTCATCTTCCAATCTATTTACATGACCCAGTGCAATGAATGTAACATGTAATACATCGGTGAAACTAAATGCCACCTCAGTGAGAGCACCAATGCTCAATAGCAAAAGCCAAGAACCCAAATCAATTTTTGTCAACTGCCGTTTCAGACCACGTCTCCCTTCCAGATCATTCCATCAAGGACATAGAACTAATTCCATTAGAACTAATAAAGGCAAAACACTTGAACCCTATGGGAAGCACAGACAAGATGAAATTTAATCTATTCACTTGACATATATTTTTAGGTAACCTCTTTTTCCAAGTTTTTGTCCATTGTTTTCCTCCACCAATCACATTTTATTTCTGTATTATTTTATATACTGTAGCCGTTCATTCTATTCTCACTTAGATTTTCCAGCCCCTGATGAAGACTAGTTTTGTCTAGTCGAAATATTGGGCAAATAAATTTGTAAACCTTAGCTGTCCGATCAACCTTGCCTTCAATTTTAAGTGTTAAATTATCACCCCTTAGAGAGGATTGTCCCCTCCCACTACCCGGGGGATTATCACCCTTTTGAAAGGATTATCATCTCTCATTACCCTGCGGGACTATCACTGCTCCTGCGGGATTAATTACCACCTATCAAAACCCTTGCAAAAAATCGCCCCTTAGAGAGGACTGGCACCTCTTATTACCTTGGGGGAATATAATTCCTTAGAAAGGATTACCCCCTTTTTTTAACTCTAGGGGACTATCACCCCTTAGAGAGGATAATCACTTTAGCCTACATGTAGCCGTATCAACCCTTAGCGCGGATTATCACCTCTGACTACCCTGGCAAATTATCACCCCTTAGAGAGGATTGTCACCTCTCACTACCCTGGGGGATTATCACCCATTTGAGAGGATTATCATCTCTCACTACCATGGGGGACTATCACCCCTTAAAGAGGATTATCACCTGTCACTGCCCTGGCAAACTATCACCCCTTAGAGAGGATTGGTACCTCACACTACCCTGGGGACTATCACCCATTTGAGAGGATTATCATCTCTCACTACCATGGGGGACTATCACCCCTTAAAGAGGATTATCACCTGTCACTGCCCTGGCAAACTTTCACCCCTTAAAGAGGATTGGCACCTCTCACTACCCTGGGGACTATCACCTTTTAGAAAGGATTATCACCTCTCTTTACCCTGGGGGATGCACACCCCTTAGAGAAGATCATCACCTCTCATTACCCTGGGAGACTATGACCCGTTTATGAGTATTTTCACCTCTCAGTACCCTGCGGGACTATCACCCCTTAGCGAGGATTATCACCTGTCACTAACCTGGGGGACTATCACCCCTTAGAGAGGATTGTCTCCTCTCACTACCCTGGGGGACTATCACCCTTTGAGAGTATTATCACCTGTTACTACCCTGGGGAACTATCACCCCTTAGGGAGGATTTTCAAGGAGAGGATTGTCACCTGTCACTATCATGGCGGACTATCACATCCCTTGGAGAGGATTATCACCTCCTCGGTGTAACAAACAATTTTATTTACCCCTGTAATATTAAAATGTATATGGAGAAGAACCTTTGCCCTGCCCCTTAGATAGGACTTATCACCTCTCACTTCCCTGGGGGACTATGACCCCTTGGAGAGGATTGTCACCTCTCACTACCCTGGGGGATGATCAGTCCCTGGAGAGGATTATCACCTCTCACTTCCCTGGGGTATGATCAGTCCCTGGAGAGATTGTCACCTCTCACTACCCTGGGGGATGATCAGTCCCTGGAGAGGATTATCACCTCTCACTTCCCTGGGGGACTATCAACCCTTAGAGTCTGAGAGGATTATCACCTCTCACGACCCTGGGGGATGATCAGTCCCTGGAGAGGATTATCACCTCTCACTTCGCATCCAGTTACACCGAATGGGGGAATACCACAAGGAACAAAACTCGCGCTATTGCTGTTCGCCATATTAATGAACAATCTGTGTAGGGACTGGAGATATAGGATTAAATACGTTGATGACACCTCGGTATTTGAATCTATTCCTCGGTGTTCGCCTAGCTACCTTCCATTTATCGCCGCAAATATTAACACCTACGCTTCCATGCGTAACATGCGGCTTAATGAGAAAAAATGTAAAGATATGGTTATCAATTTTTTGAAGTACCAACCCACTGTTATAACGCCGATTCAGCTTAATGGTATAGTCATTGATAGAGTATCTAGTTATAAACTCTTAGGGGTTATTATCTCTAATGACCTCTCTTGAAACAAACACTGTGACAGTATCCATAAAAAAGCTACTAAGCTACTTGTGCTGCGGACCCTCAAGAGAGTTGGACTGGGCACTAACGATCTCGTGTTAGTCTACTTTAGTATTGTTAGATCCATTGTTGAGTACGCCTCCCCAGTTTGGGCTGCGATCCCTTTATATCTTGATGAGTTAATTGAGTCTGTACAGTGGAAAGCCCTCAAAATAATATTTGACCGGGTAGACTATGCGGAAGCCTTGGTCTTGGCCGGCCTGGAGTCTCTTAGTGACAGGAGGGAAGGAGCTTGTAAGCGGTTTATGGCTACTGCACGCCAAATGTCCCCCCTTAAGAACATCATCCCCTGTCCTGCCGCTTTTGAGTCTCACTACAGCATGAGGGTCCAACTTCCAGGACGTCAACATGGTCATATCAGTAGATTTAATGACTTTGTAACTTATAAATTTCAGTGAATGTATGTAAATGGTTAATTGTATGTGACAATGACCTTCCCCAACAATTCAGTTATTGCTGCAAGTGGGTAAAATAAACAGAATATCTATCTATCTATCTTCCCTGGGGGACTATCAACCCTTAGAGTCTGAGAGGATTAACACCTCTCACGACCCTGGGGGATGATCACTCCTAAGAGAGGTTTATCACTAGAGAACTATCACCCCTTCGAGAGAATTATCACCTCAGTCTAACTACCTTGGGGGATGATCAGCCCTAGAGAGTATCGTTACCTCTCTCCATGTAGATTTTGGATCATTACACCCATGTTTAAAGAAAAGTGCCCTGTTGTCAATGTTTGGAGTACTTTATCAATTTGTACTTTTCTCCTCAATTATCATTCTGGTGAAGTTCTTTGCTGTTATAAGACTAAAGGTTATGGTTTGGTAACATTAATTATGCATACAAAACTTCTCAACTAGTAAGAACATCACTTTTAATCAAAGCCTGAAAACATAAAGTTTTGCTTTGTTTGGGAAAATGGTTGCATCAAGATAAACAACAACAGCTTTATAACAACAACATGGGGGGGAAAATACATTCCATAAAAAACATATTCAAGTGACTACAGGTACCTCCATTGCCATTTAAAGAGATATTTGAGAAGTTCAGTTTCTTTCTCCAAGGGCAAGTCAGCATTGTGAGGTTTTGGCTTTCTTGCCTACAGAGCCTTTTTTTTATGGCCTTTTAAACTAACTGCACATGATCAGCAATTAATTCCCTCCCTGACAAGGCTGAATGAACATTATCATATAATACTGATATTTGTCTCATGAGCAGATCCACACTTGCCCCTGAGACGATCTTCACATGTTCTATTCGTCTGAAGAAGACTGATAGAACGTCAGCATTGGTTGAACAAAACTCATAAGTCAGACAAACTTAATTGTGATTGACATAGCAGTTTTTATGAACTTAATATGCCCAGTTTAGGGGTATAGAATGGTAAATTTGAGACCTTGAGAGACTGCGAGACCCCGGTTTCAAAATTAGATCACAAAACTTAAAAAAAGATGAGACTCCAAAACACAAGATCGTCGGAAAATGAGACTTTAGGACCTATCACGAAATGTTTCTGAAATTTCGAGATCAAGCCAAAATTTTTCGAAACCTACGTTTTTCAAGGAACTTTTCACCACCCCTCAGTTTGGTAAGACTCACAAAAGGTTTTTATGATTTAACCCTTGCCTACTAGGGCAGTATTTGCTGACTAAATAATTACCGTACAGATTTCCTGGCTGTCCATAAGGGATTCTACTGATCCAGTAATGCGTTTTTCAGTGCCATTAATTCAGTAGCTACGGGGATGCACATTTCTTCTCACTGGTATCTGCCTTTACACGATACAGATACGTGTCAGTGTTTGCCTCCCAACTTGCTACACTAGCAATTCCTTTAGCAAGAGCATGACCAAACAAACTACAGCTAGCTTGTTTAAGACGGTTCAGACAACCTTCTTTTATTTGTTTGTTCACCTTGCACTGCGTCTCGACGGTGGCCTCAAGTCGCTGTATAATGCCCTCAGCGATCCGCACATAATTGTCCGGCTCGATCTCGTCACGACTTTTGTGCTTTTTCAGTTCCTTTAATGTTAAACGCCGAGCTTCATATATGCACGTCGATATTAGTGATTTTAGCTGGTACTTTTGCCCATAGAGAAGCATTGATAGAACGTCATCTTCCGTTCTTGCTTTGACCATGAAAGCCATAACCCTTTCGCACTTGTGAGCAATAGATTCTATTTGATATTCATGAGCAAGTTTAAACAAAAAATAACAGTTGTTCTTTGTGACAGGCTTCTCCTCCATAGATGGATACATAATATGTAGCAATTCCTATATTTCGCTTGCTTTTTTGCCCGGAAGGTGGATTTCACTGCTATACTTCTCCTTGAATTCTGACGTAAACATGTTCTCAAACACTGGCGACCAATATGCTAGTGTGCCCCGGTGAGCGTGAAATTTTTGATCTTCCACTACAAGAACTATATCGCTTAACTTCCAAGGAACTGAAAAATCAACTGGGTTGTTGACTAAATTGTTGTTTTTCGCGGCCATTTTCCCTTACTTGAAGTACGATGCTGAACAAAACAACTGACTACAACTGGGAGTTTTGCTGGACAAACTTCAGTTGTAGCTTTCAAAATGGGGGCTGCTCTCGAAGACTTCAGGGCGAAAAAACGTTCTGCGCAAGTCCTGCGCAAGCTTCTGATCATTCCTTATCGCAGGCTTAGGCGTTTCTGTTGACTGTGTTTGTTTGCCACTGGAGTTCTGAGTGAACTGCGCGAGATGCGAACGTTTCAGGTTTGCTCCTTGTAAAGTACTTTTGTTTGACATGTTTGCTTTTCTTATGTCACTTGAAAATTGCTTTGGATTCAGAACAGCCAATGATAAAGAAAAAACAGATCATTCCGTTAGTCTGAGGTGGAATAAAAAGTTTCAAAGAGGCGAGTATTTTTTTCTGATAGTGCATTCGATTAATTTGTGAGTTGATTTCGCGGGGCTGAATTAAAACCCGCTTGTATCCCGTTATTAGTAGTTACGGTTACTTTTTTTACATGTGTTATTTGTCTTCAGTCAAAGAAACATATTGTTTCAAAAGTAGGTTGAGTTTGATCGTGCGGGTGAACGTAGTCCTGAATAGGACTGTTGTTGACTGACTTTCTCGGAAATAGAAGGCCAGCAAGCTTACTCAAGAAGAAAAGACTACTTCGAGTCATTTTTCAGTTGCTCAAGTAATACATACTGTAATAGTCGGAGTTTTTTTTTTTCATTTTTCATTACATAGTTTTGTCTTCCAGTGCACTGTGAAAGTTTCTGTTCTTAATAAGAAATAACTTTCTGTACGCAAATTTTCCTTTTCACTCGCTGTGAAGTAGAGCCGAACGATAACTGCCGGCAGTGGCTTTCAAAACAATTGACTCTTTTCCCGTAAAAACAATTGCTTGAGCTGAATTTGACTGAGGCGAGCAAAACAAACCCTTATGTGCAGTTTTCTGTATTTTCTAACGATTGGCTGAGTTTAATTTGCCTGAATGAAGACCCTCTCATGGGCCAGTTAATATTAAAAATAGATAAATGATGAATCATGGCTTTGCTGCCAAGTTGCAACTGATATTTTGCTTTTAAGATCTTTAGTTAGGTTGATTTCGTACAGAAAATTCATTTCTTCATACTGATGTCAGCAAGAAGTTTTTGCAATAATGTAACTTTAACTTTGTTTGAAGGAAATCCTACTTATGCGTACGTTTTTGACAGATGCTGTAGCTGATGCATGTTCAACTTGACAACACAAAACAAAATTTCCCGCAAAATTTATCTGCGCCTAAAACGATAGTTGCCGATTTTGGGGAAGATTTTACTGGAAAAAGATCGACTCTTTTTCTACCCACATTTGAGGATTTTGTTTCTATTTCAGTGATCTCCTAAGCTACAAGTCTCCGATCGAGCGTGGGTTTTAAAATATCAGCTCGAGTGCGACAAAGTTCAGTGACCTCAAACACATTGTGGGCATGCGCTACAGTCAACCCAAGTCAAGCGTACCCCCCAAGATTACATTAATGAATTTATTATTCGAAAGTCGAATCCGTTGGTAGTTGTAGATTTCAGATTCGTGTCTGCATTCTTACATGCGTAATGAGCCGTGAATTCACACGCGATTCAGTTCCGAAATTTCTACCAGCTAAGTTTCCCTGAATTTGACGGAAATGTCTTCCACGAAATTTAACCCATTTAAAGATTTTCAATCTGCCCAAATACAGGAACGACTAACAGATTCATTTTTCAAATAATCGATTCATTCATAGAATCTTAGGGGGTACGCTTGACCTGCCTCGACTGTAATTTTTTTGGGCAAATCACTGTAAAAAGATATTTTGTTTGTGTGTCCACAGTGGGGCTCTGGAATATATCCAGGAACTTGCTTATATGAACACATTTTGTGAATGCATCTCCAAAAAATTCCCACTACAACGCAAGGAAATCAATCAGTCGTTGTCTGGTTAACAATCTCGTTCCCAGAGGCCGCGATCCTTTAACGGAGGCTCGGGGGACGAGATTGTGTTGTTAAAGTCCGTTTTATTACAAGGTATCCTTCGTTAAAATTAAGTAATGGGAAGGTTATAACCACAGCTTGCAACTTTTGAAGACAAATTGCTTTTTCCTTTCAGGTTATGAAGAACGTAGTTAATGTTTGTACTTTATGAGTTTTTGGGCCGTGAATCTTTTATAGATCCGATATGCCCTAATTTTTGCATGGTTTTGTCGATGTTCAGGATGTTTTTTAGGTTGTTTTGGCCAATTCTTTATATTTTCTGCGAGA